TAAACCACGACCCCCTCCCCGAGGTTACATTCCAAGTAGAATTCCGCGCCGAGGATGTTCGTCCAGACGCCGTCGACGGTCGTCCAGTAAGCCGGGAGGACGATGACCAGATCCGTCGGATCGAAGAGGATCACCATCGACTGGTATGCGAAGCCGTTCCCGTCAGTCAAGTCGGAGACCATGGTGTAGGATGCGCTCGCGATCACCGACTCGGGGGCTTTGGAAAGAAATTTCTCGAGATGCGAATGAAGAAAATTAATGAAGAACTGGAGAAATGAATGATGGACTCTCGTTCTGATTGCAACGTACGTTCGCGCACGCGTTTACGTACTGCGGGTACAGGCGTTTGTGCGAGGGAATGCTGACAGGATGGAAATGTCGCTGCAATAACCCGTTGATAGTCGTTTTCGTAAAATGTATAGAACTGATACAAAATGCAAAAAAAAATAAGTGTACAAAAATTGTAGCACCTGTAAATTCAGTAATGTCGGTATTAATATTAGTTTTTCGAGCCGTAAACATTTTTTTTTGCTCAGGAACAAAATTTTTACGTTCGTTCCGTAGTTCTTCAATTTTCATCTTAGTTTTGGTACGGATGCAGAAGTTTCTTCCACAATTTCTTTCCGAGTTCCAGCTTCATTGCAGTTTGAAACTGCGAGAAATCGGATTGACTGTTTGATACTCGCATAATTGTAATACAACACTTTAAGGCACTGTTCACACAGACACCGGCTGCCGTCGAAATCGCAACGCCATAAAGGTTGAAACTAGCGAAATTTCATTAAAATCCATGAGCCTTTGAACAATTCCTGAAAATGAGTTAAATTTTGAAAACGAACACCCGTGAGAGCGTGCAATCGAAGAAAGTGCATTTAAAAAAAATTCCCAATTCGAAAACTTGCCAAGCGGCACCAATTTTGTCGGCGGCGAGTGCCTCCGAGTCTTCCCTTGCTTTCAGCGGCTGGTGAGGTGAAGTCACTTCGAAAAAAAAAGAAGTCGCTTCGAAGGGGCTTTCCCTTGCCGTTTTCCAATTTTCCTTGAATTGTCGTTAATGACCTTTTATCGACAGATTCGATTGGGATAAGATTTTGAAAAGGTTGCTGGTTACGTGTCGGTGTTGGCAAGGTACATTTTGGGATGATCGCTTCAGTAAGTGCTGATATGCATTACTTGAATTTTGGTAGTGATTTCGCCATCGCTTATAAATACATATTCTTCGGTAGTCCGTCCCCTGCCAACATTTGGCAAAGGATGTGCTACATTTGGCAGAACTAGGATGACTGCTTCATGGTGTTGCAATATACAGTAAATGGCGAACTTTACAAAGGATTCGTGATGTCACCTGGCTGAACATTTTCTCGTTTTAGGCAGAATTTTGGCAGAACGACGACGCGGCTCACTTTCGGGGTTGGCGAAGTATAACTCCCGGAGGTAGGCCCCGCTGGTGATGCCGGAGAAGTCCTGGCCAGAGCCGGTCGGGTCTTCACACAGCCGGAAGTCGACCCGGGCTTCCAAGTGCAGCCCCGTCAGCATCGCAGCGTACACCGAGTAGTACGAGCTCAGGGGGGAACTGCAACGCATCGATTTGAGTGTCAAGAAAAAAAAGTATTAATTCTCGAAAGCCTATTTGTTGGTTTTAAGTTGTTATTTACTCAATGAGAATTGGAAACGGGAGACCTTTGCCGTGCGGGAGACGACATGAGGAGCCCCGACGTGAGCGGACACGTGTAAACCACCTGCGACGTCACGTCCCCGGTCGCCGGATTGAAATTCGTGACCGTCATCTCCAGCGCCCCCGTATCCCTCAGCCAATACTCCTGCAAGTTCGCCCCATCCTCCGCTTCCGCGAAAGAGAAGAACCATTTAACTGCGAACTCTCTCCTCACCCCCTCCCCTTCCCCCGCCGCTCGAAGAGGAATGAAACGTACAAGCAGCGAGCGTCTGGGCGAAGAAGATGGAATGACCCAACTCGTCGGCGAACTGCACCCAATCAAGGAGCCTCACGCCCGTCCCGCTCCATTCCTCCCGCGGTGCCTTTCCCTGCCGTCAGATGTCAGGTTACTTCGTTTCTGAAGCCTTTTCGCAGTATTTCCTAAACTATTTTCGGATGGAGCTGTGGAATCATCGCAGGAATCCATCCGTCGAGAAATAGCAAGCAATCCGTCCTTGCATGAAAAACGATAACGGTTCCTCACGGGCTCGGTGCATGCCAAGTGGGAAAATGCGAATTCGACATTCTTGAAAGTAGTCGATTGGAAACTTTCTAAATATTGATGAAGCTACTCTCTACGATTTTTTTTTAGAGGAATCAGAACTTGGGAGCAATGAAATAATCTTCAGATAACGTATGCAAATTTGACCTTTTTTTTTTTTTTACTTGGATCCTACTTCACCCTTTAAGCCTCAAAAATCTTTCCTTATCGCACTTGGCAAATGAACTTGCATGTGGTTCCATGCTCTGGTGCGTCTGAATTATAAATGAAGCGCACCGCAAGACTCGTCCGTGACCAAAACGACTGATTCTTTCAAAATCGTATTCCATTAATTTTAAATGTAAAAAACAGTATTATTTCTTTCGTGAATCCCTCTCACCCCTGCAAAATTTCCGCACTAGTTCCTCGATATTTCTGCAACAATTTCCAGACTACCTTGAGAACAGTCTCGCTGCATCCGCCCCGCAGAACTGCAGCCTGAAGCTCCTGTCCGCTGAGCAGAGCCTCCTCGATCTCGAAGAAAGTCGTGTATTGGTTGTACTGCTCCCCTGTAAATCATAAAAAAACACGGGTAAATTCAGTGAGTTTCTTAGACTGTGCAAAAACAAATCACAAAAGTCTCTCCAGTCCAGAAAAAATTACCTCATTTTTACTTTTGTATTTTTGTAACGGTAACTGTTCACTTTGGCATTTCATTTCAGAGGTAGTCGAACGTACCTGTAATGGTAATTCAGCTTTGAGCTAAATCACTGTTCAAATAATGATTTAGCTGCGAGACTTGGAGGGATCAAAGGACATATTTAAACATTTTTCAAGCGAATCTTAAAAGAAAATCATGTTTGTCCCATTACCACGTACAGGTTTCGAATGCTGAAGTTGGAGTTAGGTTTAAGCTACAAGTTAAGTTGGATTAGCTTAAATCTGAAAATGAAGGGCTGGTCAAAGGACCAGTTGAAGGGCAACCTTTGAACTGATAATATTCGAAAGTGTCATTGAAATCTCGAAAACGACGGGGCGTTGTTTGGTTTTAACCTGAGTCTCTTTCGCAGTTTTCCCACTTTCATAAATTAGTTTCTCCAATCATTCTAACCATTTTTTTTCATGAATAAGTGAATCCCACATTTCATTGATGATTCGTGATTCACTTCGTCTCTAACCGACTCAGAGTCAAACGGGATAATGACGATAATTGTCGGCCCGACAGCACGTGTCGTCCGGTGTTGTTGGCCGAGATGATTATAGAGTGGATTCTGATTCGGAGGAAACGAGTGCAGAGCGGAGCATTTAGTATTATCATTTCCCATATAAGATGCCGTAGAACCTGCGTTTAACGACAAAACAAGGAAGAACCAGTGAAATGAGCCTGTTTCCATCAACTCATGTTGGATGGCGCCAAATCCTGCTCCGCAAAAAAAAAAAACTCAACTCTTGCGAAGCAGCTCTTTAGAATGCCTATAGGAATGCATAGATATCCTATAAGTTTTCTTTAGGATCACATTGGATCCTAAAGAATATCTATCTGCCCTATGAGATACCCATAGGATCTTTCAGGATGCCTATAAGTTCCTACAGGTATCCTATCGGATTCTACAGGAAACTTATAGGTTCCCATAGCATTCCCATAGGGCCTCTTGTAAGAACAATAGTGCGACAAACCGAGTCACCCGCCGGCAGCAAGAGAAGTCGCCAGGGAAGCCACTCTCTTGCTACTCACCCAGTAACAATAAACCGAGTCACTGGAGCGACCCCACTAGGTTCTGACCCAGTCCCCCCGTGCCACCCAGCAAGCACCACAGTAATTGCTTCAGACGATCAGCCAGGAACTTAGGATGAACTTAGGAAACATCGATAGCTGTCACCAAGGAGGAATAGAAAGGGGACCCCGGGACGACTCTGACCCGGCGAATTTATTTAATAATTCATATCGCTTAGTCTACAAAACCCCTGGCAGGAGAATCCAAGGTCTCAATGAATACCCTAAGCCAAACCTATTTGACTGCTAGAGGGCAAGACTGAGAAGGATAATTTCAACCGTCTCTATCAGAAGCAGCATATCTCTCCCTGAGAAGCAACCGGGAGAAAGTCGATTTTGAGTATCATGGAACTGCGTCTTGACCTCGGTTGCCAAGTTCAAGCAACTCTGTTTGGCCTGCACGCCACTAATATTTGCGCATTTACGTATTATATTCTTCAGTGTTTGCAGCACAATAATTTGATAATAAACCCTTGGCCATATGAAATCTGGGTTTTCGCAATGACCCTGACTTTTCGGCACGCCTCGAGGTACGACCTCGTGCCCCGATCCCGCCATTATTCGTAAGGGGACGTTTGATGAGATCTGGAAGACTGCAAATAGATTTTACCCGGAACCCGGTAGAACCCGACGGACACGTCGATGTCGCACTGCAGCGGATCCGCGAAGGGATACTCGTTCTCCCACGTGAGGATGTCGTAGGCGCTGTTCACGATCTCCACTCGCCCGTTCTGCCTCACCTTCATCTGGATGCTGAGGAAGTTGAGCGAGTCTTCGGGAAACAGGGCGAGGCTGCTGTATTCCAGGAGGATGTACTCTTCGTCCGCATCGTCTGTCCCGATCCAAGAGGATAAAAATCTAAGTCTTCCAATTTTTTGTATCTGAAATTTTTAGTTTGCAATATTTTATTCCAAAATTTTTTTTTATTCCTAAAACTTGATTAGTTTTGCAAATTTTTTAGCATTAAAATTTTTTTGCTTTTGCAATAGGTGATGGGACGGAACTTGCCGAGATTGACGTAGAATTGAAGGTGAAAGGAGCCGCCCTGGGCGATCCGGTACCCGGGGAAGGGATTGCTGCATCGTTCGCCGTACCCCACCGACGTCACGTGCTCGCCGTTCAGCAGCGCGCCCCTCAGCTGCAGGTAGCTCGTCAGGGACTCGCTGGTTTCGACGCGGAATGAGCAATGAGTTTCACATGGTCTTCGATTCGTACCCAACATATCAAACTTAGAATAACTTCAACAAACGCTGCGAATAAAAAAAAATATCGAAGTCTGGAAAACGTAAGCTAGGGTGCTAACTCGGTGATCGATCGTGTCAGTTAGGAGTTAGGAAGCTGCTTTTATATTTCAACTCTAATACGATCCATCATCGTAAGTTTTAATCTATGTATCGCATTGATCGTTTTGCAAAACTTCTACAACTGTCGACCTGGGATGGAAGTATCGCTTCTGGACGAAGTAGACGCCCTCGTTGATCTTGCAGCTATAGGTCGTCTTCTGGACGATGCTCGCGTCCATGGCGCTGATGCTCACGAGGATGGCGGTCGCGTTGCCCGTTGCGGCCTCCGCGCTTCCTGCGATCAGCTCGAAGTTCCCGTCGCCTGCGAAATTTTACAATTTCATGTGAGATGTGCGAGCGAGGGGATTCTTGCTTTGAGTCTTCCGCTTTAAGAGGGAAAAAAATTAGCAAAAATAAAATTTTAAACGTGCTTTTTTTCGTAAACTGCACATTTCCGTTTTCGCATGGATCCGATTCCATATCCGCTTCGATTCGATCGTTTACGGCACAGGAGATGACAGCCCCGCGGGAACGGAACACAGAGACGATCCTCGTGCTGAGTTTTGTTCATCGACGTCGCCCTACCTTTACGACGATCGGAATCCCTTGACTCATTCCATGTTGAGAAAGTCGGTCGCGGAGACGCCTGAATTTTCACAAATATTTTCTTGACTCCGTACGGCCCTTTAAAGCAGGGGTGAGCAATTATTTTGGCTGGAGCTTCGCGAGCTTTGGTGAGCTTCAAGGGTCGCACTTCGCTACCTGGGAGAATACCTCAATAGCACAATAATTGCCTGTCAGTCCTATTCCATCTCTTGCAATAAAAATTGAACTACAACTTCTTCTACCACATCACGTTTATCGACCATCCTGATTCTCACAAAGAAGGCTGTTAATGCATATCGCTCTGAAAAAACATTTAATGGCATTCATCTTCAATCTTGTTAAAGTGCACTGTGGTGTAGCCTATAGGACAGTCTGACAAAATCCATCCAAATTGCTCGAATCCTAGAAAATCTCACTCGGTCGGAACAGCTAGATTCCCAATCTCAGATAGCCACAAATCCCAGAGTTGATAGGTTTGACAGTGGGGCCAGGCTATCCAGGGAAGCATGATATCATAATTCATAACCTGAATCCCAAGAAAGCGCCATTCTTGAAAAGACTGCAGTCGAAACACGGCTTTTTGATTAGAGGAAAGGAAGAAGAGGGCCTACTTATGGCAAACGAAATGAGCAAGCTCAGATCCTTCATTGATTAAAATTTGTCCTTTCTATGACTGAACGAACTATAATAACATATACTTTCGGCTAGACAGAGTGGTGATCCGGCTATAATCATTTGGCGGGCCGGATTCGGCCCGCGGGCCGTATTTCGCCCATCCTTGCTGGTCCACAGAATCGTCAGGAGTGAAATCGGACCCACGCCTTTTACGGCCTGAATCTGCCTCCGTGAGCTGATTTCATGCCAAATCGAGCCCCCAGCGACGTGCATGCACAGGCCATATGTACTCTT